CCTATCATTTACATACTTCTAATTTCTAATATCTCTTATATAATTCTACTTATTTATTTTGAGTCAAGGTCTTGCTCTGTCACCCAGGCTGGAGTGCAGTAGCTACAATCATGGCTCACTGCAGCCTCCACCTCCCAGGCTCAAGTGATCCTTCCACTTCAGCCTCCCAAGTAGCTGGCACTATGGTCGTATGCCACACATCCAGCTAATTTTTTAAAAATAATTTTTTTGTAGAGATGGAGTTTCACTATGTTGTCTGGGCTGGTCTCAGACTTCTGGGCTCCAGTGATCCTCCTGCCTCGGCCTCCCAAACTGCTAGGAGTACAGGCATAAGCCACTAAGCTTGGCCTGTCTTATTTTTTAAAAATAATACTTATCTTTTTATCTCATTATAAAATTCATGAGTAATTAATGCAGAAAATTTGAAAACACCAGAAATACAATGTAAAACAAAAATTAGTCATAATTCTACCACTCAAAGGGAAGCACTATTAACTTTTTTTTTTTTTAAGACAAGGTCTGGCTCTGTTGCCCAGGCTGCAGTACCATGGCATAATCATGGCTCGCTGCAGCCTCAACCTCCCAGGATCAAACAATCCTCCCACCTCAGCCTCCTGAGTAACTGAAACAACAGGCACACACCACCATGCCTGGCTAAATTTTTAAATTTTTTGTAGACAAGGTATCCCTCTGTTGCCCTGGCTGGTCTTGAACTCCTGGGCTCAAGCAATCCTCCTGTCTCAGCCTCCCAAAGTGTTAGGATTACAGGCATGAGCCACCAGGCCTAGCCACTATTAACATTTTGATATATGCACCTGTACTATTTTTTACTGTATGTGTGTGTGTATTTTAAAACAAAAATTATCAAAATTTACATTGTTTTGTAGCTTTTTTTCATTTAGTGATTATGAAATTATTTCAATGTTAATAAATGATCTATGTTACAATTTTTTCCCTTATAATACTTTTTATTATACAAGTATTAGCTGTACATTGCTGTGAGCTTAGAAAATGGAGAAAAATTGTACAGAAAGAAATAATTCATCCAGAGATTAATTGCTTTCAATATATTAGGCTATTTCTTGGAAAAAATTTCCCCTATCCCTTCTTATTATTAGTCCACAGATCCTCTAGCTCAGCCAATGACAGCAGCTGTAGTCAGCTGAGTAATGGCCACTCAAAGATATCAACTTGCAAATGTTGCCTTATTTGGAAAAAAGGTCTTTGCAAATGTGATTATGTTTAAGGATCTTTCAAAGGCACCAACCCGGAAGTTGGTTTCATTTCCTGGAAAAACCTTGATAGCTAGAGTTAATATATTGGATCCGGAGATGAAAAGGGCAACTATACCAAGGGAACTGACGTGCAGATTTTGGACTTCCTGTAGGTTAAGAGTTTGAATGTTCTGCATGGAGGCTGTGAGTTTCAAACTTTTTAAGTAGCTGAAAACTCAACTGAGAATGCGTCTGAGATGGCACAAGTAGAAGCAGAACCCACAGCTGAGGTCCAAGTCAAGCACCAGAGGCACAAATGGATCAGAGGGACCTGGTGGAGGCTGTAGACACAAGCCTCAGCAGAAAGACCTCTGACCTCATCATCAGCCATAAGCAAGGTGAAGGGCATTCGAAAGAAAGGGACTTTGGTGGCACAGGGAATTTTCAGTTTTCATGGTTCATCTACTGATTTAATGCATTATTGATTACATGCTACCAATTAACCTCTTTTTTTTTCTTTTTACCCACTCCAGTATGCTAAGGAGGACCAATTAATCTCTTTAATAACCTTGTTTTTATTTGTTTGTTTGTTTGTTTGCTTGTTTCTGAGACAGAGTCTCACTCTGTCACCCAGGCTGGAGTGCAGTGGTGCAATCTCAGCTCATTGCAACCTCCACCTCCCAGGTTCGAGTGATTCTCCTGCCTCAGCCTCCCAAGTAGCTGGGATTACAGGCACCTGCCACCATGCCCGGCTAATTTTTGTATTTTTTAGTAGAGATGGGGTTTCATCATATTGGCCAGGCTGGTCTCAAACTCCTGACCTCAGGTGATCTGCCCACCTCAGCCTCCCAAAGTGCTGGGATTATAGTCATAAGCCACTGTACCCAGTCAAATAACCTTGTTTTAAATAGCCTAGTATGGGGTTGAGCCACAACCACCTCTCTCAGTGATTCTCAGGAGTGTGGAGGGGAAACCAGTAGGGGTGATCATCTTTAATACTGACTAGAGGACCTTACAGAAAAAGTATGCCAATCATAACTGCTCCATGTGTGAGTCTGTCATTCCGCCTAATTTGGGAGATTGTAGGGGTGGTCCTTGAAGAGAACAGAACATTTTGGAGGGTTTGAGTAGATGAGCATGAAACACTGGTTGTGGGTGGGGACAGTCACTTCAGCCTGCTCTACCCACCCAAAGCAACCAGAGTGGAAGATCAACCTCTTAGTTCAGAGATGACTGGGCTGGATTTCCCCAGCCACACCACAAGGGGAGTCCCAAGGAAGAGGAAAGAGGTAACATTGTGGGTGACACCGAGGCTTTCTCCCGGTCCTCCCACTGCTCTGGCATTTCCTCCAGAGAGGCCCTGCTCTGACAGTGAGCACTGTGGGCTGTGCACCTGCTGCCGTTGATGGGGTTTAGCTATCTTCTGATTGAGATGGAGAAAAGTTGGATGATGAAGTGAAGGGGAGGGGGTTGTGCTGGAGCAGTGATGAGCCTCATGTCGGGACATTCCAGCCACAGAGTTAAAAGGAGGGGAGAGGAAAGCCAGTGGGAGGGAAAAGGAGAGCGCATGAGATCCAGAGTTTGGGGATGGCTTATACAGTTGATCTTACATTAGATGCCAGAGCAAGGAGGAAGAAAGGACCTCTCATTCACCAGTCTCTTCCCTTATCCATCTACTTTCACACCCCTAACTTGCAATGTACGTCAACACTAAATAATTCCAATGAGAAAATACACATAACAGTGCTTTGTGAACCTTAAAACCCTAATAATAATAACAAAAAATAGCATTCATTGAGAGTTACTATGTGTAGTCACAGAGCTAAGCACTTCACATATATCCATCTTATTTAATCCTGATAATAATTTTGTGACATTTATTATTCTAATTTTAGTGATGGGAAAACTGAGTCTCAGGGAAATTAAGGTTAAGAAATTTGCCCATGGATATATAGATAGAAAATGGCAGAGTCAGAATATGAAGTCTTCTAGCTCCAGAGCCCAAACTATTAACCATTTTTGCTCTACTGCCTTGTTAAATGTCTGTTATTTATTTTCAATCTCACTAAATAAGATAAGTGTGGGTAGAACACAAACACCAACAGAAATTCAGACTTGATAAAACAACAACTGCAATAACAACCCAGTACATAATGAATGAGAATGAACCAATGGCAAGCCACTTTAAAGAAACAAAATGGTACCCAGGCCATTTTGAGCAGGAACACTAGTCCCTCAAGTGCCTCCTTTCTAGGCAGGTTCCAGGGTGACTGCACATATCCCAGGTGTACATGAAGTGCCCAGAATCTGGGAGTACCTATCTCTCAATTTCACTGCCTCACAGGCTCTGCTATGTTTTTTCCTACTGTTGCTCCCAGTGGGAGTCTCTGACTCTGGGGTTCAACACGGCCCCACTGAGTTCTGGCTTCTTTTCTTCGACCGCATTGCCCTGCTTGCTGAGACTGTGTGCCCTAAAGGACTGGGGGGTACTTCGCAGCCAGAGTTCTAACTAATATTCTCCCCAATGCACAAATCATGCTCTTGGGCTTTCACAGCCTACCAACAGTTAAATTTTTATTAGGCCCATTTCCTCAGTTTCCTGAAGAACTTTGTCAAGGACTTGGAGTACCTTCCCTACAGCCTGATTCAGAGAACATGTGGGTTGTGCTACTCAGTGACTGACTAAAGAAAATTCCTGTCCGCTAAAGGTGAACCACCATCCCAGAACTCAGCTAGAACATCTGATGTCTTTCCTGTCTTGAGGAGACTCCTTCTATCTGGGTGGTTACCCGGAGGTTAGAGGCAGAGTCACTGCCCTGGACCTTCTGCTGCTTCCAGCATATCTTGCCATGGACTCCCCAAGAGGGACAGTCAAGATTTCATGCACATAGAACCCTGGCACTAGATAGGAAATAGATCCAAGAGAAAGGATTAAAGAGTAAGGTCTGAGGAACAAGAGTCCGTAAACCTTCCACATAGAGTCCAGAGTTTTGAGTCTGTCTGTGAACCACCTTTCTGGTACTATGGCCCAGCCAGTGCCACAGCATGGAAGTGCTCTTGGGACAATATCTGCATACCCTGTAGAGAATAGTGTATATCATACAATCCTTTTATTCCTGACAAGGGAACACTAACTAGTTCTCCATCCTATCCTCCTCTTCCGCCCCCATATCTACCCACGATTGTGAACTACTTGGATAAATTTCTCAAGACTTTTGGCCTAATAATTTTGAAATCTAATTTTGAATTTCACCCTAGTTTACTTTCTGGTTGTCAACTGAGTGTTATTTTTATCTAAGCTGGATGTTCACGCTGGTCAAATTAACCAGATAATTGCTAACATTCTAAGTTATGTTGTTTAGAAGTAACAGGAGTTGGAGGAAATGGCCTAAAAACAAGCAAAACCAGAAAAAAAAAAAGCCAATTAAGAGTCATCCAGTTTTATTTAAAAACTGACAAACCTACATTTCATTTCATGCTCATAGATTCAATCATAAGCTGTATTTCCAAGACTGCTGAATTAGTGGTAAGAAGCTGATCAAGTTACAGCAATTATCTTTGGGATAATTTGCTAGTTAAAAGTGGGCATTTTGATGCTGTGTACCGTGTGGGCTCAGTTTGTTGAATAGTGACTTCTTAATCATTCACATCTGGCCTTGCTCACAGATTCAACCCAGGAGATGGTATAGTATGAGGAAAAATGACTTTGAAGGAAGACAAAGCTAGGTCCAAATTTTGGTGCTTCTGTCCATGCGCCATACAATCTTGGACTTTGCACCTTTGGAGTGTCAGTTCCCTTATCTGTAAAAATGGCAATGGCAGGGGGAAGATTATTTTCAAGACTCATGTGAAGACTAAAAATTAAATGATATTTTACAGATCAGACATGGAGCTATATAAAGTACCAAACACATGGTTGGTAGTCAGAATAAGTACAGAGGCTAAGGCACAAGTCACTTGAACCTGGGAGGCAGAAACTGCAGTGAGCTGAGAATACACCACGCACTCCAGCCTGGGCAAGAGAGCGAGACTCTGTCTCAAAAAAAGAAAAAAGAAAAAAAAAATTATTTCACATCACTCTGAGAACAAATATATAAATAGAGAGGTTGGTATACCAGAGAAACTCAATGAATTCTTGTCAAATAAATGGATACCTTTTGAGTATTTCTTTTCTTTTTTCTTTTTAAGAGATAAGGTCTTGCTCTGTCACTCAGGCTTCAGTGCTGTAGCATGATTATAGCTCACTATAGCCTCAAACTTCTAGGTTCAAGCAATCCACTCGCATCGGCCTCCCAAAGTGTTGAGATTACAGACATGAGTCAACACGCCCAGCGTTTTTGAATATTTCAAAACAGGGTCACAACACAGACAAAGAAGAGGTGATCACTTACATGCTTTGCAAGTGGAGTTGAAAGCTCACGTCCAAAGATTTCCTCTTTCACTTGACTTGAAATTCTCATTACTAAGATCATGACATAATGACCATCATTCATTCAACACACATGGATTGAAAAACCTACTGTGTATCAATTGTGGGGTTGCAAATACTAAGTTGTATGTCTTTCCTTTGAGAAGGTCTTAATATATAGAATAAACTAAACATGAAAACAAATGGTTACTATAGTATGTGTCAACTGCATTGATGGATAAAAATAAGGACATTTTGCTCAGAAGTTTATAGTTAGTGTGCATAAATGTTATTCAACAGTGGGTCTTCTAACGCTCTTCAACTCATATATTTGTAAAAATTATACTGATAAATTCAAAGGCCTTAGGTTTTGGCTTTATGCTTTTCCTTTTCCTAGAATGCTCTTCCCTCTCTGGAAAACCACACCTCCTTCAGCATGCAATTTAATGCTCCAAAAAGAAGTTCATCCAACACTCCGTGATCCCTATCTCCTTTCTACTTGCAACACGTCCCGTAGTTCTTAACCCTGGCTGTTCAGTAAAATCTTCGAAAAAGGTTCAGAGATTTTATATATCTGAGTCCGACCTAGATTTACTAAATTAGCTGAAACATAAGCATTTGTAGTTTTAAAAGCTTCACAGGTGGTTCTAATTCAGGAGATGAAATTCACTAATTCCAGCATTAATTGTATTATAGCATAAGCAAAACGTGTTACTGGAGTGTAACAATTGTAGCTCTTCCATTTTATTTCCCCAGTTTGTAGAATGCTGTAAGCACTCAGCAAAAGTTTGTTGAACATATTCAATGAATTAGCGAGCAGATAGGGCTGGAAAGGCAGTCTTTTTTTTTTTTTAGATGGAGTCTCACTATTGTCACCCAGGCTAGAATGCAATGGTGTGATCAAGGCTTACGGCAACCTCCACCTCCCAGGTTCAAGCGATTCTCATGCCTCAGCCTCCCAAGTAGCTGGGACTTCTGGCCTGTGCCGCTATGCTTGGCTAATTTTTGTATTTTTAGTAGAGACAGGGTTTCACCATGTTGGCCAGGCTGGTCTCGAACTCCTGACCTTAAGTGATCCGCACTCCTTGGCCGCCCAAAGTGCTGGGATTACATGCATGAGCCACTGTGCCCAGCCAGAGTCAGTTTTAATGAGGGAATCATTCTAGGTGGACAGGAGAAGAGTGGTGTGGGAGCGTGGCATTGAGTGAGGTATGAGTTCAGAAGGGGAAGCCTAAAGTGATCCTAGTTTAAGGTTTCAGGGTCATGAAAAAGAAAGAAGTGGATGTCAAAGACCACCTTGGCCTAGTCTATCTTCCTTTGACATAAGGTTGCCCAGAGCTGGAATGGGATGACATTCGAGTAACCTTCTAGTCAGGACTGTATCAGGTCAGCCCTGGATTAAAAGGATTGAATCTAGGATGGAAGCTATTCAGACACTGTATCAGGTACCCTTAGTGGGAAGTAAAAGAGACAGATGCTGACCGGAAGGAGTTTAAAATCCAGTTAAGACTCATGAAACAACAAAGAAAACATTCACAGAACAACATAGCAATTAACTTACTAGTTACTATTTGCTGAGTGCTTTCTACCTGCCGGTGTTTACATTAAGCACTTTACAAACATGACTTAACTGAAAATGATTTCTATTGCACTTGATGAAGACATGTAGGCTTGGAGAGAAAAAGTACCTTGTTCAAGGTTATACAGCCAATAAGTGTTGAAAACCAGATGTGGACCCAGTTTGGTTGACTCCAAAACTTGTGCTTTTTGTGCACTACACTAGAAAGCCTCTATCCTTACATCTCTGGTATGCAGCCTCTGGTCCAAGTGATTACCTAAAATCACATGGTAAATTTTACCATGTGCTCCAGATTTAAAACCTTTCCACAGCTCTCCACTGCCTTAAAGAATGTGTTAAACACGGGAGTATTTGGCAGAACCAAGTAGAGGTAACTGAGTTGAATGAGGTTGATGTTGGTTTCCAAAAACAGTGAGTTTACTTTAAGTTTACTTAAAGGAAGTAAGGAATATAGAATATGGAGGAGAAAGAACAAAGCAAGGACTAAACCTAGACCTGGAATATTTCGGGGGAAAAAACCCTTGGCTTACTTCCACACCCACTAAAGCCAAACTTCTGCACATACCAAACCAAACTTCTCATGAACACACATGCAGAACCTGTGAGATTCTACTAATTTTTTTTTTTTTTTTACCAGATAAATAGAATAGTAAAATTAGTAAGATACATTTTACCAGAATTGAGCTGTTTTTACTCACAACACTTCTGACACCAACTTTTAGGGTTGTTTTCTCACACCAACCAATTCTCCACCTCTCTGGAAATTGACTGGGTGTCCAGCAATCCAATTCAATTAGTACTAACTACTCAGAGTTGGCCTCTGACTCTTCAGGTTTAAGGGCTCAGAACCACAAGGCTGCCCTCATTTCAGATGCTAGGTGCAATATCAGATCACCCATACTTCTCCACCCTCCCCTAGCTTTATTAAGCTATAGTTGACAAATAAAAATGGTATATATTTACAGTGTACAATGTGAGGTTTTGATATATGTATATGTGGTGAAATAATTTAATGACAGTAATTAATATATCTATCACTGCACATACAACTTTTTTTTTGTGGTGAGAACATTTAAAATCTATTATCTTAGCAATTTTCAAGAATACAATACAGCATTCTTAACTAGCATCACTATGCTGTACAATAGATCTCCAGAATTTATTCATCCTAACAGTTAGAAACCCTGTATCCTTTGACAGTATCTCCCCATTCATTTCTCCTTACCCCCAGGCCCTGTTAACCACCATTTTACTGTCTGCATCTATGAGTTCCGCATATAAGTGAGATCTGTAGTATCTGTAGTCTTTCAGTGACTGGCTTATCTCACTTAGCATAGTATCCTTTAGGTTTACCCAGATTGTCGTAAATGACAGAACTTCTGTATTTTAAAAGGCTGAACAATATTACATTGTGTGTGTGTGTGTGTGTGTGTAAAACATTTTCTTTATCCATTCATTCATTGATGGACACTTAGGTTGATTTTCCATCTTGGCCTTTGTGAATAATGCTGCAGTGATTGTGGGAGTGCAGATATCTCTTCAATATATTGATTTCCTTTCTTTTGGATATATATCCAGAAGTGGGATTGCTGGGTCATAAGGTAGTCCTATTTTTAATTTCTGAGGAACCTCTACGTGATTTTCCACTGTGGCTGCACCAATTTACATTCTGACCAACACTGTACAAGGTTCCCCTTTCTCCACATCCTCACCAACACGTATTATCATTTGTCTTTTTGATAGATATTCTAACATGTGTGAGGTGATATCTCACTGTGCTTTTAATTTAACTTACATTTTCCTGATAATTAGTGATGTTGACCATTTTTTCATATACCTGTTGGCCATTCATACGTCTTCTTTTGAGAAATGTCTATTCAGGTCTTTTGCCTTTTTTTTTTTTCCTTTTTCTTTTTGAGACGGAGTTTCCCTCTTATTGCCCAGGCTGGAGTGTAATGGCACAATCTCAGCTCACCGCAACCTCTGCTTCCCGGATTCAAGCAATTCTCCTGCCTCAGCTTCCTGAGTAGCTGGGATTACAGGCGTGCATTACCACACCTGGCTAATTTTGTATTTTTAGTAGAGACAGGATTTCTCCATGTTGGTCAGGGTGGTCTTGAACTCCCTCAGGTGGTCTCAGGTGTTTTGCCCACCTTGGCCTCCCAAAGTGCTGGGATTACAGATGTGAACCACTGCGCCCGACCCTTTTGCCCACTTTAAAATCTGGTTATGTGTTTTCTTGTTATTGAGTTGTTTGAATTCCTTGTATAGTTTGAATACTAACCTCTTATCAGATATATGGCTTGCAAATACTTTCTTTCATTCCATAGGTTGTTTCTTGTCTCTTTTCTTCTGTACATAGGTTGTATTCCATAGATTGTTTCTTTTTCTATAGAGAAGCTTTTTAGTTTGATGCACTCTTATTTGACTATTTTTGCTTTTGCTGCCTGTGCTTTTGCGGTCATAACCAAAAAAGTGATTGCTGAGGACAATGTCAAGAAGCTTTTTTCCTATTTTCGTCTAGTGGTTCCACAGTTTCAGGTCTTATATTTAAATCTCCAATCCATTTTGAGTTCTTTTTTTGTATAAGGTGTTGAGATAAGGGTCCAATTTTAATCTTTCGCATGTGGAAATCCAATTGTCCCAATACCATTTATTGAATAGTCTGCCCTTTTCTCATTGTGTGCTCTTGGTGCCTTTGTTAAAGATCAATTGACCATAAATATGTGGAATTATTTCTGGACTCTCTATTCTGTTCTATTGGTCTATATGTCTGTTTTTATGCCAGTACCATGCTATTTGAGATCACCTGTACTTCTATGTGACCAGCCATAAATCAGCTATCCCCATAACCCCCTCCTGAGTTTCAATGATTTCCTAGACTGGCCAACAGAACTCAGGAAGGCACTTAACTTACATTTGTATTTTAAGGATACAAATGAACAGCCGATGAGAGGTATAGGGGCAAGGCCCAGAAAAGTCCCAAGCATAACAGCTTCTGTACCATGGAGCTGGAGTGTGCTACCCTCCCAGAATGCAGATGTGTTAACCAACTGGGAAGCTCTCTGACCTCCACTGTTTATGGGTTTTTATGGAAGTTTCATTAAGTAGACATGATTTATTAAATCATTGACCATTGGTGATTGAACTCAATCTCTACCCGCTCTCCCCTCCCCAGCAGCAGAATGGGGATGAAAGTTCCAAGTTTTTAATCAAGGCTTGGCCTTTTTGGCTTCCAGCCCCTATCCTGAAGCTACCTAGGGGCCCTCAGCCACCAGACATCTAATTAACATGCAAAATATACTCTTACCCTTATCATTCTCAGGATTCCAAAATGTTTCAGAAGCTGCATGCCAGGAATCTGGGACAAAGATAAAATATTTACTTTTTATAATACCATAAAGGACATCTTTGCATGCTGCTTCTTGTTATCTGGTGATGTTGCTAAGCATGAAGAAATCATTCTAAAATCTGGGACGGAAAGTTCATATCAATAACTAAAACTGTACAGGTTTAAATGTGTGGTGACTTTAACTTAGAATGCACATCCATTCAGATGTTACATATGCACATTCACAAGGCACATTTGAAGCCTGTGCTATGAATGAAGAGCAGTCTGGGAGGCCCTGCAGCCCTTAGCAATTTGGTCTTTACTTGGAGTTTGTATTTCCTTCCTCACTTTTTATATTACGTGGCCTTGTCTCATGATGGCACCATTGTGACATGTGTACAGGCTGGCCACACTCTGTTCAACTGTTGTTTGCTTAATGCATTCTCTCATGATAAACTGGACCCAAAGCTTACCTATTCTGCCCCCTACCCCAACTTTAGAATGGCAGACAAATGATGAAGCTTCCCACAGGAGATTCCTTTTATTTCTTTTTAATATTTTATGTATGTATTTATTATTTAGAAAACACTGTCTCATTCTCTGTCGCCCAGGCTGGAATGCAGTGGCGCAATCATAGCTCACCGCAGCCTAGAATTCCTGGGATCAAACAATCCTCCTGCTTCAGGCTCCCAAAGCACTGGGATTACAGGTGTGAGCCACCACGCCTGACATCTGCAGGAAATTCTAACTTTATTTTCACCACCATTAGTTCAATTATGGTCAACAATTACAAGTCTTGTAAGCAGCTTTGTATTGCTTAACTCCATCTTTTACAATCTTCTTAGCCACTGTTTCTGTATTGTTGTTATGCAAACGTATACCACTTTATTGGTAAACTGTTATTTTGTTTATATATTTTAGTTGGTTCTGCTGCTTTGGTTATCTTTTCTATTGTCTTATTCCTTAATGTGTATGCTTTAAATGTGTATGTCTGTGACACTGTTGGAAAAAAGATTAATTTTACATTTGATTGGCTGGTAGATAACATAATTTTTCTGGACATTTATTAAAATGAATAGAAGAGTACATTCTTGTGGGTTTCTATTAAATCAGTTTTCTTGTAGCATTATACTCACATAATATATGAATAGACTAAACAAAACATTCCTGTGCTTAACAATTAGCAGCAAGTCCATGCCATTCACTAATTATTTATTGAGGACTTACTCTGGGCCAGACACAAATGGGGTTGAGCTCACAGGACATGACAAGATGCTGTGTGTCTAGAATTAAGAGAGCAACAACAGGTCCTATCACTCTTCTGCTTAAAATACTTGGATAGCCTTAGGTCCAAATCGGTTCAAAATATTCCTCTCCCATACAGATACTGGCTCAAGGAGCCCAAAAAGGGAAAAGGTGGCTTTAAGATACTGAGCTGTGGCTGGGCGCGGTGGTTAATGCCTGTAATCCCAGCACTTTGGGACGCTGAAGCAGGTGGATCACCTGAGGCTAAGAGTTTGAGACCAGCCTGGCCAGCATGGTGAAACCCCATCTCTACTAAAAATACAAAAATTTAGCTGGGTGTGGTGGTGCACACCTGTAGTTCCAGCTACTTGGGAGGCTGAGGTATGAGAATTTCTTGAACCTAAGAGGTGAAGGTTGCAGTGAGCTGAGATTGCGCCACTGCACTTCAGCCTGGGCAACAGACCAAAGATTCTGTCTGAACAACAGCAACAACAGTAAGACACTATGCTGTGCCTCTCATCTTGCATTTTTTCCTCTTTGCTCTTAGTACTTTCTGATCATGTTTCATATTAATTATTTCTGGTTTCCTATCAGCTTTGAATTAATCCTAGCTTTGTACCCTGGGCCCTCACTTTCAGATCCTCTCAGTTCTATTCCATGCATATTATGGAGAAAGTCTTACCCTACCCATAACCAGACCCAGCTTCTGGAAGTATAATCCCAGAATGGCATCTGAGACCTCACTTGGCCTGGCAGAGGAGTTTCGACGTGTTCCATAGCTTTGATGTTACTATTCCTTACTTTAAGACACTTTTAGATCTGACACACATGTTCATTTCACCAGCTTGTCTTCAGCCATTCCTCAACTAGGATGTTATGGATCTGTCCTATTGAATTTCTTGAGCAGTTTCTGGAGCAAGTAATTTTATTTCCCATCTCATTTTTGCACACGGCACATTTCCTCCTCATAAAAACCCCTGTTCTACCATCCCCAATTCTCCAGCTATCTCCTCCTCTTAATCTCAAAGCTAGTTTCAGGGGTCTTATCTCCCAAAAAGTTCCAGTCTGACTTAGATGCTTCTCCTCTAAGCCACAGTGTTTATGGCACTATAGCAATTGCTTTACTTATGTGTCTCCTACCTGCTCCCAGATTTTGAAAGAGGTTACCACATTTTATTTGACTTTTTTTTTTTTTTTGAAACGGAGTCTCACTCTGTCACCCAGGCTGGACTGCAGTGGTGCCAGCTTGGCTCACTGCAACCTCTGCCTCCTGGGTTCAAGTGATTCTTGTGCCTCAGCCTCCCAAGTAGCTGGGATTATAGGCGGGTGCCATCACACTCAGCTAATTTTTGTATTTTCAGTAGAGACAGGATTTTGCCATGTTGCCCAGGCTGGTCTAGCATTCCTGAACTCAGGCAATCTGCCAGCCTCAGCCTCCCAAAGTGCTGGTACTGCAGGCATGAGCCACCATGCCCAACCTTTTATTAGACTTTCTATTCTATCCCTAGCCTATGATAGGGACTCATTAAGTGACTATTGAGTAAATCAGTGAAAGAATGAATTAATGAATAAGTGAATATATTGCCTAATACATCTACTTAAAGCCTCTTAGAAAGCAGGTATGGTATGAATTGTAAATGAACAATAGTACTACAATCTTAATATGGAGGGTGAGAAATAGAAAGGTCTTCAACAGATAATATTTTTTTCTATTTACATATGTCCTTTTTTTCTAGATATGAGCAAAAGCCTAAGTGCCAACTGCTGAATCAAGATTTACCCAAATGTCACCAAAACCAGTGGCAAGTTAGTCAAATATAGGACTCATCATTGAATTAACAATCATTGAGTATCTATTATGTGCACATCACTGTTTAATCTATAAGGATGTCGTGATTTAGTGAGGAAGCATATACAAAAATAACCCTGAGGAAGGGCAGACTGTGATAATCAAATTAGAGACTCAAACCACATTCTGTGGGATTCAAATGGAAAAAAAAAGATTAATTCTTATTAGAAGTAATCAAGTCAACAACGTATGGGGTGGGCATAGGCTGTGAAAATCAGGACAACCAGCTAATTAATGTTGCACAGAATAAATGGTGGATTGAATCAGATCTATTGCTTGTCAGCTGGTTGTTTTGCTCCACAACTGCCTTAACCTCTGAATGACATGGAAGTGAGAAAGAAGAAGGAAGTGCAGCAGGACTCAAAGAGGAAGAAATGACTCTTGCTAAAGAAGGAAGAGAAGTGGAACCAACCACAGGGAGGAGAGATGGGGTAAAAATTGTTTTGATTCCGTTGTAGCATTTCCTTGAGTCTCTTCAGTTCTAAGAATAGGGAAAGGAAGAAAAGAAGAGAGCCTGTCATGGAACCAAAAGAAGACAGCATCAAAATAAGGAGAAAAGAGCAAAGAAGCAGAAATGACTTGGAATCATGCCATAGAATTATGCCACCATACTGCTGCTTATAAAACATTCATACTGAAAATGTTTTAGTGACGATACAAATAAGAAGGTAGAGGAGACATGGTTGTAGATAGTGATCTAAGGAAAAAAGTGTGTTACTATGGTTATCATTAGAACTTTTCACAAATAGTCCCACTCTTCCCATTAATGTATACCAGGGGATCAAACTGCCACCTCCTTTGAGGGTTGATATGGCTGTGTGGCTTGCATTGGCCAACAAAATGTGAGGAGAAGTGATAGACACGTAGAGTGTATGAGAAATACCTTTCAGCCACTAAGATTTGGACTGTTAGTATAAGCTAACCTGTCCTTACTAATATAGTTACCCAGAAAGAAAAGGAAAAGATTGCTAATATTTATGCAAAAAAAAAGATTGAGAGAGATAAATTTGTGGGACAGGTCAAAGGAGTACTATAAGAGTTGGATTCAAGTAAGAAATAAAATGTAAAGCTAAATAGTTAAGCATTATAAAATGTGTAATGATTTCTTTCTTCTAATAGTTTGTTTGTATGTCTTTCTCTTTGTAATATTCTTCTTCATACAGAGCATCTGTTTTTACAGTTTCAACTACTGCCTCAATATGAATAATTAGAAACTCATCTATCTGATTTTGACAACATTCACATTTCTAACTGCCTACCAAAATATACCCATTTTAAAAGACTCCCAGTACAACTGTTCACACATGTTCATGTCTAAGAATGAAACAATGAAACTCCTTAGAAGATCAAACCTCCCCCCAAAAAATTCCTTTCCCTTTTCTGTTAACAAAATCTCCCCTCAAGCCTTGCTAGTTAACTTAGATCACTTCCTCTTCTTATTCCTCTTTATTCAATCTCTGCTTCAAAATGCCTCTCAGATTTGCCACTTTCTCTACTCACATCTCAGCTACCCTAGTCCAAATGTATTTAACTCATACCTGGACCGTGGTCATAAACTCCTCTCTTCTTCTCCAATGCATTTGCCCACCCCTCCATCCTGCCCACTCTTTCCAGACTAATCTTCCCTCCACAAAGGTCCTCTGCGACCCCTCAGCCTCATGTCCAACAGCATTCACCATAGCCTGCCCCTCCAGGGCTCTCCCACTGCTTACCAGCTGCTGTGCTCAGGCTGGCATGTTTGGTGTTTGCTGTGCTGTGAGCCATTCTGCTCATTCCTCCATCCTTGTTTTACCAAAATTTTTACCTCCAACTCTGCAAGTGCTCTCACTTTCATCTTCCCAATAAAAAATCCCACACATCTTTAAGGCTCACCTTATATCCCTTTTTCTCTTTTCCCAGAAGACTTAACAAATCCCACCCAAAGAGATTTCTCCCT